GTGAGTAACTGAATTTTGGTACATACTGGGTTAATACATGTATTATTCTCACCATTAAATATACACTAAGCAAGAGGAAAGATAGTTTATTAAGTTTCATTGCTTATGCAAAGCATAGCCATAATAGTATCAGAGTTAGCAAGTATAAATAGAATAGTATAGTATCAGAGTTAGCAAGTACAAATTGACATATGTTTACATTCAATGTATAGGCTTTATCCACAACCAAAATATAAGAAAGTAAATATATTTGTTTATTTAAAACATCTTAGAAGTCATATAATTCCACTCATAAGAACTTCATTGTAGTTATATAATAAAGACTTTATCAACATAGCCACAATACAATATCACATTCAACAATACTAACAACAATTCCTTAATATAAATTTTCTCCATGTTTATTTTGTTGCAGTAGTCTGTAAGATCTATGTTTCAGTTGGATCCAAAATTCAACAACGAAAATGGTTCACACTTTTGGATTGATGTCATGCCTGAGTACTGTAATTTTAATTTCTGTAGTTTTTATTTGCCTCAGGGCTTGGGAGATTTTTGGAAGATGTGAAATACTATAAGATTACTTTTGCAGAAATTAGCCTACCTTCACAAAACTGGCAGGTTAAATATTTGTTGATGATAATTGGGGAAAAAAACAAAATTGGAGTTGAAAAGAAAAATAGAAGCAAAAATCAAGTAAAGGGGATGCTTTTGTAAGGAAGACTTTATATTTAATAAAGTACAAATAAAGTAAGACAAAGCAAAGTACCTTAACCCCTTTAACTGTCAACCTAAGTTAGCTACAAAACATAGATGGAAAGTAGTTGTTAAAATCATCAAATTTTTCTGCTGTTTTCTAAATTAGGTTATTGTATGCAAAGCTAAGCCCATGTAACTAAGCGAATTGGGAAAAGGGATTGAGAAATCCCTTAGTTTCAAATGGTAGTTTTCCTTTTTCTTAATTAAAATAAATATTATACTGTCTGTGTGTGTTTTTTTCTTTATAAAGCTATTGAATGGGAAGTATTGATTAGAGGAGGGTGTTAGAGGGGATCTCTATAGCAGAAAGAGAAATCTTCAAATTTTGTAAATAGGAACCATATAAGTTAATTTAGTTAATATAGCAGAAACTGAAGCAGTCAATAAACCTTGCTAAAAGCAGAAAAAATAAAGATGGAAGAAATTTTGCATTATTGGGGATACTTAACATTCTAGCAATGCCTTGCCACTCTTAAGAGACTGGCATTACATCTCTTACTCCAGCTCTCTTCATATAGCATCAATATAGTTTTTGACCATGTCACAGGTGGCAAAGCAGTCCACAGAATATTAGATAAGCATGAAATTGTACACTGATTATTTCTAATAAATATTTAGGCTTTTAAAAAATTATTTTTCAACTCTCAATACTCTTCAAAATAAGATAATAGCTCTAGCCCTTCTAAATGTAGAAGACAATTAGTAGTACCCGAGATTATTCTAACATTATAAGTTTACCTAGGTGTAGGTATATAAAAGAGAGAATAATCTAAATTGATATGACTTCATTTTGTATGGCCAGCTTTTCTATATTATGGGAAAAGTTGGCTATTTATTAAACATAAAGAGACACATTATTACATTAATTATTAGAAAAAGGGAACTCGTATGACTTTTGCTTATCATGTCTCAAAACAGATTTTCCAAAGAGGAAACCTCCCCAACAAACAAAATAGTAAAATTAAGCAACCTGCGTTCATCAACAGTGCAAGTAATTCTGAGCAATGCCATTTTTATCTTAATAACATAAAAATCTAGCATTTTGATTGATACAGATTATTTTCTTCATGAGTTAGATCACAGGCATAAATTGGCATAATTTCAGAGAAAAAAATAACTATTTTCCAAATGCACAAATACAAATTTCATTTCATTTATTATCCTATTCCATTTTGTAACGGGGCATTACATTTATTTCATTTTCACAGAACTGTAGCTAGTTCTGTTAATAACAAAAATGGTACTTTTTATCATCATCTAATACTAATCAATCATTCAAAAATGCCTGCATAGGATTATTTTGTACAAAATCACAAAGCAAAATGAATTTGAAAGTAAAAGATTCCCTTGGAATGTATAGTATATTTCTTTTCTTTCTTCTTTTTTTTAATCACTCTCAACAGAGTGGTTTTATACCCAACACATTTTCATTATTTCATTTTCTCTTACGCAATTCTGAAGAATTTCACATTTTGCCTTAAATATAATATTCTGAGTGAGTTTCATTTTATTGTCCACACGAATGCTATTTTAACTCTATCCCAGCTCTATTTCATTTTTGTGAAAGATACTGAATTTTAAAGTTGTCTCTTATAAAGTTGTGGTCTTAACGTAAATGAAACAAATTTGGAACTACGAAACTGAAAATTAAAAAGTAACTTGCAGTCAGGTAAAAATGATATAGGCTAGACCTATAAGGCTTGTGTCGTAGATATTGTATACCATGTGGGCATTATATGCACAAATTAGCCTACCTTTGTAGACACCTGAAACTCATAGGTCTCATCCTTAGAAAGATGGTTTCTATTTCAAATTTTCTACATTCTGATGCCAGGCATCTCACCGGATGCTCAGCTATCTTGTGAAAGAAACCAGATACATTTTTGCAAATGTGAACCTCATTATTATTCCGTTCTGCTAGGGTCTGTCAAAAATTTGATATCAGTAGTAATTCAGCTTCATAGTTTCATCTAGCCATCAAGTCAAATCTAGCTAATGGGCTGGAATCATAGATTGGCTTTCATGCCCTCTGGTGGATGCTCAAAGAAACTGCTACACTCATTAGTAAAAATGAAAAAAAACAAAAAAAAAAAAAAACAAAAAAAACCTCATTTTAGAAAAATGAACATTCTTGGCCTGGCGCTGTGGCTCCGCCTGTAATAACAGGAGGCCGATGTGGGCGGATGACCTGAGGTCAGGAGTTCGAGACCAGCCTGGCCAACATGGCAAAACCCTGTCTCCTCTAAAAATACAAAAAAAAAAAAAAAAAAGTTAGCCATCCATTGTGGGGGGCACCTGTAATCCCTGCTACTCGGGAGGCTGAGGGAGGAGAATTGCTTGAACCTGGAAGGCGGAAGTTGCAGTGAGCCGAGATCACACTACTGCACCGCAGCCTGGGTGACAGTGAGACTCTGTCTCCAAAAATAGATAAATAACTAACTTTCTTTAACATGGGAAGAAAAAAAATTCAGTCCTATTACAAACACAGAAATAAACCAATCAACCAACCAACACCAAATAGGTACTTTTGTTTGAAGTGCACTGACCCATAAATGCAAGTAACTTTAAAATAAATTCCGATTACTTCAACTCTGACTTTCACTACTGTCTTAGGCAAATTAGCTGCTAAATCATTAGCCCTGTTTCTAGATGTGCTTACACTTTTCTAAGGGTTAATTATAACCACTGCCTGCTCTGCAAACGGAATGGGATGTAACATATGTAGCTCATAGGATACAAACAAAAACTTTTTCTTAGAGTCAATCATTTGAGGTCAATGTAGTTATATTGATCATTCTCTGATGTTTACTTATTATAGTCACTTTTAAAGTTAGAAGATCATAGTGGAAAAATATCTGAAATAGGAACTGGAAGATGACAATACTAGTCTCTAGTTTTGCTTCTTACACTAATTAGCTATACAACTTGGGCAAGTCAAATCCTCTTCCAGGGTCCACACTTTCTCATCTGTTAAATGAAAGCAGACACACATGCATAGATAGATAGATAGATAGATAGATAGATAGATAGATAGATAGAGAGAGAGAGAGATCTTTTGTGTCTATTTTTTATAACAGAATCTGTGAGCTTTTCAACTATAAAAGTATATATATACATTATTGAAAAATTAAAAAATCGAGAAACATAAAAAATGAAATCACCTGTAGCCCCATTATCTGAAGATATGTTTTACATTTTTTACTTCTTTATAGTATGACTTCCTTTGTTGGCTTGGAATCACAAGCTATAACACTGCCAAATCATGTACTTGTTTAATTTTATATTTCTTTCTATTTAAGAAATAAATGAACTTCATTTTAAAAGTCAAGTAGTACTATAGAATCGTAATAGAAATCAGAACTTTCCTGCCATACCTAATCCCACACATTATCTCTGAGTCCAATTTCTTGAGACGACAATTTTCAACTCTTTTAGTATTTTGTTACAAATATTTATGATCTAATTCTAAAATTATGTGCTTTAGCACCATTTGGTTTTTCCTTTAATTAATTAAATTTCCACCATCTGAGATTAGCATTTATGTTTCTTACTGTATCCTGCCACCTTCCTTCACAAACCTTTTCCCTTTGCCTATCTTGTTAATATAAATAATACATATTTTAAAATATTAATTTAAAAAATTTAATTAATTTAAATATTACTTACATTATTCATCACTTAACTATTTTTAACAGTACTAATTATTTGTAATTTTCATAGCTTAACCATTTTATAGTTAATTTAATTTTTGTTTTTCATGGATTTAATAAATGCCTTTTTTCACTTCCTCGGTTTTCTACTTACTACTAATTTAACATTGAAGTTACATGTATATTTTTCTTTAATCATTCCTCTTATTTTCTGTAGCTCATTGCTGTTATGTTCTGATTGGAATTGGCTCTTCTTCGGGCTGCTGCAATACTGTCTTCCTATAGATTAACTTCATTATCATTTTCAGAATTCTCTTCACTTCTTTTGCCTCTAATTCTTGGACATTTCTGGATTGCCGTAGCAAATATTAGCTTAATCATTCTATTTCTTCCATGACACTTAGCAAAGCAGAGAAACTCAAAGTCTCAGTCAATCATGACAACCATCTGTGTCCATCTCATTCATCTTTCCAAGTACTAAAATCTTATGATTAACTTTCTTCTTACTGTCATCTTCTTATCTCTGTCTCTGTGACTTAAAAACATTTTAATTTCTTTCCTATAATCAGTAGGTTTCTGAAGAGAGTAGACGTGTTCATTCTGCCATGTTTAATTTGAAGTTAGGAATAGCCAGGTCACAAAATTGTCATTAGAATAAAATCTGATAGCATATATGAAAACAGTTTGTTCACCATATAGCCCTACACACACACCAGAGACTACTGCAGTACATAAACACAAGCTTCTTCATATCTTTTTCATCAGCAGATACAAGTGAGATTATGTTAACAGCACTAAGTCAGCTGTGTCTGGCTTTTAGTCACCCTCACTTTCATAAGGCCTTACCCCCATTAAATCCTCTTCCAGTTTTTCGGGGATTTCCAGAACTAGGAAACATTACTTTAAAACTTAAGTACAGGCAATGATTTCCTTCACTTGAAGATTTACATTCTAGCCCTGGAAGAAACATACCAGACTACCAGTAGAAAAGTACATGATGCTCCTTATATTATAAAAAGATTACTCCACATATTAAAAGTTTCTTTACATCATGTGTCATTAGGGAATTGCAAATTAAAACAACAATGGAATACTACTGCGTATCTATTAGAATGGCCAACATTCAGAAGACTGAGAACATCAAATGCTGGTGAGAATGTGGAGCAACAGGAACTCTCATTCATTGCCACTAGAATTCCAAAATGGTACAGACACTTTGAAAGATAGGTTAGTGGTTTTGTTGCAAAACTAAACATACAATCCAACAAACATGCTCTTGGTATTTACCCAAAGGAGTTAAAAACTTATATCTCCACAAAATCTTGCATATGGATATTGACAGTAGCTTTATGCATAATTGCCAAAACTTGGAAGCAACCAAGATATCCTTCACCAGGTGAAGGCATACGTAAACTTTGGTAAAGCAGACAATGGATTTTATTTAACCCTGAAAAGAAATGAGCTATCAAGCCATGAAAAGACATAGAGGAAACTTACGTGCATATTACTAGGTTAAAGAAGCTAACCTGAAAAGGCTACATACTGTATGATTCCAACTATAGGGCATTCTAAAAATGCAAAGCCATGGAGAAAATAAAAAGACCAGTGGTTGTTTGGATTTAGAAGGGAGGGAAGAAAGGATAGATAGGCAGAGCACAGAGGACTTTCAGGGGCAGTGAAATTACTTTGTGGGACACTGTAATGGTAGGTACATGTCATTCTAAATTTGCCAGACCTAGAGAATGTACAACACCAAGAGTGAGTCATAATATAATCTATGGACTTTGGATGATAATGATGTCAGTATAGGCACGTCAATTGTAAGAAGTGTATCACTCTGGCGAGAGATGTTGGTAATGGGGGAGGTTATATAAGTGTCAAAGCAGGGTGTATATAAGAAATCTCTCTACCTTCTGCTCAATATTCCTGTGGACCTAAAACTGCTCTTAAGATAGTTTATTACAAAGGATTACCCTAGCTTCTATGGCTCCAAGTATTTTTTTGGCCTGAGCAACAGTTGCAGTTAACTGAGATGGGGAAGGTTTGGATAAAACAGATTTGGAAAAAGAAGATTAGGAAATAAGTTTGGTCAAGTTAAATTTGAGATATCTATTGATGTTTATTGTTTTGTTCAACAAATTTGTCAGCTGAAGATCATATGGCATGATGTTTTTTTCTGTCCCCCTGCTGATGGCCACTGCCAAAATGCCACTTGAAGATATCTCATTGCTACTTCTGCAGTCCTCATGAGAACAGGTATCTATGCCGAAGGTTCTTAGAATGGTGCTGCAATAAATGCCAAGCCTTGAGGCTCCAGGGAAACACTATGGACTATGGAGTCCACATTCATTCCTGTAAAAGGGGAACTTTTCTTTTCTCCCCGTATTGTCATTAAACGTGCTCCAAATCTTCAGCAATCTCCTTCACCTTCTATCTACAATTTCTTCCTCCTCAGGCTGAGGCATAAAACCTCTTAGACTGAGACTTGTAATCTTTTCCTTTTCCTCTTCATTTATCCTTTACCCTTCAACTCCAAACCTTTCTTTTTCCTACTCTCTCCCCTCACCTTCATTCAAATATTATCTTTCTGGTTCTGGTTCTGGTTCCAGACATGTTGGATTCTTGGCTTGGGCTATTGTTAAATTATAATAATTTTTATGGACTCCACACTAGGAAAGAGTTTAAAGCAGAAAATGGTGTGATGTATACTGCAGTGGAGCCCTAAACGTGATGGAAACAACTTTCAGCACCTAATCGTTGCCTATTTGGGTATGAGTGGAAAAGCATTAATTTGGTTGTGTAGCATAAAAGTATGACACAGCAGTGACACATCAAGAGCCCACTAATTTACTATTTAAACATCTCCATGACCCAAATTTTTTCCAACATCCATTCTTTTGTCGAATTGTCCTTCCTCAGACTATATGAATAGACCTCTGGACATTTCTGATAACTGAAATAACTATTCCTAAATTTGATGTTTTGGAATTACAGATGTCGTTAATGCTTTAAATTGATAATCCACACCTAAAATCAGCTTGTTTTTAGAATTTCTTCATATGGAGGTGGGGAGCCTAACATGCCAAAACATGGAGCAGGAGCAGGATATAGGTCAGCGGTTTGAGTTTGAAGGTGAATTCCAACAGGTGGACTCACAGCTGCTTCTGTCCCTGGAAAGAGAAAGATGAAGACTTGTAATCTTTCTAGTGAGCATAAAACATAGGTACAGGAACTGCCCAATAAAATCTGGCATTTCTGAAGCAACAGGAAATTATTTGTATCTATGAGAAAAAATTACAACTATCTTGCTCTTTGCAGGGAAGGTTTAGTCACCATAGCAAAAAAAAATCACTTACCTGAATCGATGAAATCATCATTGTCTAACCCATCAAGAAGCATTTACAATTTAGCAACTGAAACTAGAAGGAATATTCTCTTTTGTACATCACAAAACAGGATTCCTCAACACTAATAGCATTTCAGCTAATGCTCCCAACATGGGAAATGTAAGTTGCATTAGAAAAATTAAAATATCACTTTTGAAATTGTATTATTTTACATTTATGTTTGCAAACTTCAACTAATACAAGTAATTAATTATTCCTCTTTAGTAAAGAGTAAAAATGTTAAGCTCGGTGATGAAAAGCATGTATTTAAAGTATACACACAATAAAGGAATATATTCTAAAATTTAAAAAAATACTTTGAAATCAAAGCTGGTGACTTCTAGATTAGGCATAATACAGGACATTAACTATTACAAACTGGCCTTTTATTTCACTAACTGGTAACTTTGAAGAAGTTACCTTCTTACTCTAATGTGCTTACTCTAATGGCTCTTTTGGAAATTGCCTGTTAGTATTTCCTTGAAAGATTGGGTAACACAAAAAAAAAATAGTGCTATTTTATAACCATCTTTATATTAATATATGGCTGTATATATAAAGATGGTTTATATATATATAAAGATGGTTTATATATATATACACACACACACATGCACACACACATACATACACACATATATATAAATGCTTATATATAAAGAATATGTATTCACCTGGATATATTCACCTGGATCTTTACCCACCTTTAAATGATTTTGACTGCCTTTTGCCAAAACAATAGAAACCACCAAAAATTCATCTTTAAAAAGAAACTAGTCCCTTGAACTGAATCTGGCCTCCGTCTTTTTGTATATTGGATTTACGAAACATAATCTTATTCATACATTTACATATTGTCTATGGCTGCTGTTGTACTACCATGGCAGCGATAAGTAGTCCCCACCTAGACCATACATTTTGCAAAGCCAAAAATAATTTCTATCTGTCTGTTAATGGAAAAAGTTTGCTGACCTTCCTTAAAGGAGTAAGATTTGATGCCATTAGGAATATTCCAAACAACATGCCACAACGATCAAAAGAATTCAAAGAGTAGTTGCATATTAGACATTAGCTGCTTCACTAGGATCCATATGGAGATTACTCAAAATGATTACTTTGAAGAGGATAATGTTAATTTAGAATGATGGATTTTCATACAGTTGCGTTTGTCTTATTTCTTATCTCACAGGTACCAGAGCAAAGACTAATAATTCAAGTATGTAAAGGGTGGAGCATATTTAGAATATATGTCTCACCTTCTGGTTTAGCACTTTTCTTAGAGTTATCTATTTGATTAAATAGTCTACTTTTGGGTTATTACATAATTTTTTTTTACCTCACTTTTCTCTTAGGCAATAAAGGTATAATACTAGTGTCTACCTCTATAAAAGCAAGGCTAAATGAGTATAAAGTACTTAAAACAAGGCCTGGCACAGTAATTATGCATCAGGGTTTACTATTATTATTACAATATGTCAAGAACTGTACTAATGCTAGGAACGTGCATGTATCTTCTTTTATTTACAATATTATTTTTCAATCCATCCTCTTTTCATAGTTAAATAATGATTTAGACATTATCATTATTAATTATAATATAGAAGTTATTAAATGAAAAGTATTACGGAGTTAGAGCCCTTTGCAGTTTGTAAGTTTGGGTTGATGTCAGATAAGTCTGTGGGACTTGATCAATCAGAGTTAACACTGGTAAAATACAGTTGTCCCAGTAATTTCCTCCATTGTGAATACTTGCAATGAATGATGGCTATTTCCTTGGTGAACTGCACCTAGTGTATTCAGTACAAAGTCAAAGGTAACTCTCTTTCTGCCTAGAAATGGTCAACCAAACTACTTGACACATCTATTATTTGTACTAGCTCCAATTTATGTCTACGATTGCCACTGTCAATATTGTGCTGCCAGTGATAGAGTCTTCATAGTTGTTTTTGTAGAAAACTTTCATTATCTTCTTACTACAAATTTTGCTGTTGATCTTAAACTTGTTATTAAAACCACAAGGCATTGGGTAAACATAATTAAGCCAATGTGCTCAGGAAGTTTTGAAAACCAAATATAGGTTATATCAGTTTTCAATCTTTTTTCAAAGCATGTTTACATATAATATCAAGTGATTGGATACTGGGGAGAGCAGACATTTCTATCTTTTGACAAATTAAGAAACTGAGAGAACTGAATAAAAAATGCCAGCAAAAATCCTATAGTTTTTACAGAACTGCTGTCTAAGATATCAGAGTTTATTGTTTAATTTTGTAAAACCAATACACTTACTGCTTAGTTTTTATAGCCAGAGTGGAGATTTCCTATGTTTTTAAGAATCACTCAAATAGACTTCACCTCTTTCTATATGTTCTTTCTACCTATTTCTCCTCTTTCCTTTACTTCATTCCTTTCTCTTCTATGGGAGTGGCCAGAAGAACTGAATTTGAATCACAGTTCTGCCATCTACTTACTATGTTGCTTAATCTCTAAGTGCCTTTGTTCCCTCATTCGTAGAGTGGTCAGAATGATAGTGAACTTTCATAGAGTGATAAGGAAGAATAAATGAGATTCGGGATGTCAAGTGTTAGCACAGGGCATGGCTCCTGGGAAATGCTCAATGAATGAGTCATTACTATTATCGCGTCTTTCCATGAAAATCTGTGAATGAAATACTTCCTTTTTTATTACTGAAAATAAGTCACAGAATATTTACACATACAACATGAAACATAGGGAAATGACATTTCTGAAAAATCATAAAATAAAAGAATCCTGGGAGACTTGGAGGGAGAAGAGAGCAGAGCCTGTAAGACCTTGCTTCTTGTTCACCTCTCTGGAGCCCTCTTTTTTATCCCCAGCACAGAGCACTCATATGTAATCACTGCTGGAATGCTGGTATTTCTATTTTCCCAGAAATAAGAAAGAGGGAAGATTATCCCTGAAACTGCAGAAGAAATGGGGTCAGAGAGATTGTATAGTTGCATTATCAAGCAATCTGCCCCAATGAGAAGCTAAGCCAAGATAAGTATCCCTAGGACGGGTGTCCCCTTGGGCTTCATCTTGCAATCAGCTCAGGAAAGGCAGGGAACCTCATCGGGAAGCCTTGTCAAGCCTGAGGGAACCCAGCTCCAATCCAGAGACCTCATGGCATAGAGGCAAAGGGACCCTTATTTAAATGTTATGTGATTGATTATGTTTTATTAAAAACACGGACAAACAGTTGTGGGGGTCCCTCTCCTATGCTCTCCAATTCTCTCTTTTCTAATGCATAGTTAATTGTTTTTCTGCCTCAAGCTCTATTTGTCCTTTTCTCACCTCCAAAACTCCAAACATTTTCCATTATCTTTAGATGTCTTGCTTCCTCATTAATACGGATTTTTATTCAGCATCACAACTTTATTTTTAATAAAACATTATTGTCATCCTCATTTTTAGTAATTAAAATAAAAATAACCTTTCATTTTTAATAAATTCCAAAATTCCTTTGACATTGCCTACTTTTAATATACAAATTTAAGAAACAAAACAAAACAATTAACCTAATCAATAAAACCAAAATCCTTATCTTTTTTTAAAAACTATTTTTAATATCTGTTTTATCCTGTCATAATTATAGTCCTTGGATTTATGAACTGCTGAGCAACGATCACAAACAATAGAGATTTGGGATACAGACGGTCATGTGAGAATTTTCATGATTTTTCTCTTTTTTTTTTCCTCAATCTTTACTAAAAATTTGCATACATTCCTTTTAAAAAATCACTGTCTGTGGCTCAATGTGTATTTTCACTTCCCATTTCCACATTTTAGAGAGGGGGGAAAAACTGGTTGTAGATTGATATGATTTGGATCTGTGTCCCCGTCCAAATCCAGTGTTGCATTGTAATCCCTAATGTTGTAGGTGGGGCCCGGTGGGAGTTGACTGGGTCATGGAAATGGTTTCTCATGAATGATTTAGCACCATACCCTTGGTGCTGTTCTCGTGATAGTGAGTTCCCATGAGATCTGGTTGTTTAAAAGTGTGTAACACCTCCCCGCTCCCTCTCTCTTCCTCCTGGCCCAGCCATGTGAAGTGCTTGCTCCCTCTTTGCCTTCTGCCATGATTTAAGTTTCCTGGGGCCTCCCCAGAAGCCAAGCAGATGCCAGCATCATGCTTCCCATACAGCCTGCAGAACCATGAGCCAATTTTAAACTTTCTTTTTCATAAATTACCCAGTCTCAGGTATTTATTTATAGTAATGTGAGAATGGACTAATACAGGAAGTCTTCTGTGTTTTCAGTTGTATTATCACTTAGGAGATATTCTGAAGGCATTATTAAATTAGGTAAGATAGTGAGTGATATGGTTTGGCTGTGTCCCCACCCAAATCTCATCTTGATTTGTACTCCCATAATTCCCACGTGTTGTGGGAGGGATTTGGTGGAAGACAAGTGAATGGCAGGGTGGCTTCCCCCATACTGTTCTTGTGGTAGTGAATAGGTCTCATAAGATCTGATGGTTTTATCAGGGGTTTCCACTTTTGCATTTTCCTTACTCTCTCTTTGTCTGCTGCCATCTATGTAAGATGTGACTTGCCCCTCCTTGCTTGCTACCATGATTGTGAGGATTCCCCAGCCACATGAAACTGTAAGTCCAATTAAACCTATTTCTTTTGTAAATTGCTCAGTCTCAGGTATGTCTTTATCAGCAGCATGAAAATGGACTGATACACTAAGATAAGAAAACATCGAAACGAATGAAAAAAAATTACCTAAACATGGATGCTGAACGAAATACACCCACATAATACTAGAATTATTCATCTTTGACAGTTCAGAGAAGGAACTAATAAGGTCTCAGAAGCTACAGCATGGATGATGCCATTTGAGAAGACATGAAGGCATTGAGTGGATGCTTTCTGGGTTATAGCAGAGATGGTGAAGGAGAACCAGATCCAGAAGATGAGTTAAGTTCAGGGGAGCATAACAAGGGGAGAAGAAAGAGGAGGAGATTCTGGAGCTGTGACCAGGAAGAGGAAGTGGGGCTGAAGAAAAAAAGAAGAATTTAGAGTCTGTATAAAATAAGTAGGTTTGAATTTTAGTCCTTAAAATATCTCTGATTTAAACTGTTTCTTCTCTTCTTCCTCTTTCTCTTGCTCTGCATCTTCTCCTTCTTTGCCTTCTTGACTTTCTTCTGATCTTCTCTTCTTCTTCTTTCTCTGACAGCCCCTCTTCCTCCTCACTCCCCAAGAGAGGAGTTGTATTAGTTTACTAGGGCTGTCATAACAAAGTACCACAGACTGGATCACTTAAATAACAGAGATTTATTTTGTCACAATTTTGGAGTCTAGACATCCATGACCAAGGTGTCAGCAGGGTAGGTTTCTTCTGAGGCCTGTCTCCTTGGATTGCAGATGGCCACCCTTCTCGTTGTGTCTCTATATGGTCTTTACTTTGTGCCTGTCTGTCTGTGTGCGAATATCTTCTTATAAGAATGCTGGCCATATTGAATTAAGGTTCATCCCAATTACCTCATTTTAATTTCATTGTCTTTGTCTTTTTAAAGGCGCTATCTTCAAATGTAGTCATATTCTGAGAAACTGGGGTTAGAATTTGAACATATGAAATTGGGTGGGGGACAGCTCAGCCCACAACAGGGGGCATCAGAGGGAATATTTTTCCCTTTCTGAAGGGTAAGAGCTTCCTGACATATTGTGGACACGGAGAGTGTCCATTGAGCACAGTAAGTGCCAGGATCTTTTCTACTGAATCCAAGACTTTTGAGAAGCCCCGAGTCTAAGGACCCACACTTCAGGGGTATAGATCCTATGAAGAGGAAGGAAGACCAGTTATCTAAAGACTGAATCAGCAGAGCACTGTGAAAAGACGGGAACATTAGTCCAGGAAATGCTACTGGGGTCTGCGGTGTTTGGGTGAGATCCCACAGACCTCTCCCAGACAGGAAATCTCACCAGACATTGGGATGGGCTGTGTTGGCAACACCTTCCTTAAATACCTCTTATAAGGATCCAAGCCAAGTGTTTTCTTCTTTCTGTTTAGTATTTCTAATCAGAATAACTGGCAACCTGTGCCATGTAATAGTGTCAGTAGTTCTGATTGAAAGAAATGTTCTATTTTATGTATTTTAACATTAGCACAATTTGACCACCTCAGTTTCTCAGTCAAAAGTTTCCTCTGAGTTCTGCTTAGTTGAGGGCAGCTTCCAGGAGATCCTGAGGGTCAAACCTTTGCTCCACAGGTCAGAAGAGCCGAGCTATTTCAATTAATGTATTCAATAAATGGTGATAATTAAGTAAAATAAGTTTGGATAAAAATTTTAAAAATTAAGTTCTGGGAGGAACCCAACATTAATATATCAAATCTAGTCTCTCCATTAAAATGTTTCAAATGACCCATTTCCCACATTCTGTATTCAGTGGGGAACATCCCATCTTCTCCTTTGTGCTCAAGAAATGGCAGGGAGTTCAGAAACCTTATTTTATATTCTAACATGTCACCTGTGTCATTCCAGAGATTTCTCACTTTTCTCTTTCTCTTCTGAACAGGGACTGTGAGGGAAATTCAGAAGCACAGTCCCATAACCTCAGTGTGGGTGTATGAATCCTGAGGCAGCTGGACTCAATTCTTAACTGTGAGCACATACTCTGTGGGAGCTGCGGAGGTAGATGCTGCGGTTTTGACCCTCACCTCCTTCTGTAGCCACAAAAGCAAGTGGTTCTCTTAACTTCCCTTTTGGAAAGCAGCTTCTTTTTATAGAAATACTAGGTAGGAAGAATCATTTGTATGGAGAAGTGAAGGTATCATGAAGATCCAGTGAGGAACGTAAATTTAGCATGGGTCCAGGTTTCAAATTGTCTTAAAATATTGACTGCCTGAAATTTACTTCCAGAAATTACTAGGTAAGAAGTCGCTAGAGATGGGAGATCACCACTTCCTAAATTACTCTTTTGTATTTTGTTTTGGAGAAGAGAAACAGGAATGCCACAAAGCTCAGCTCTGGGCACCATATCCACATCAAAGACTGTATGAATGGCTGTTCCCTGCCTGTCCTGCCATCCTGAGCATCCCTGGGACACGATGGAACATGGGCAGTGGGTGGAACAACCTAACAATCAATTCAGCGTAGGCACAAGAAAAGATAAATAGGACAGAGTACGTAATGGGAATCAATAGTAGAGAGATTTGCAGTGCATCTCAGGATGGAAGAGTTTAAATGTTTCTTGAGCAAAATGAGATCCAGAAGTTAAACCAGTGGAATTGGGAGGAAAGAACAGAGTAAGGATGGGCATGAAGATCCTGGAGCAAAAGCCCTACCACTGAAAAGCTGCTCTATCGAAAACTGTAGGTGTTCAAAGAGTGAGGCTGTACTTAGTGTCCAGGGATGGGCTGGGCTGTCAGTGACCAGCCTACGTTTTCATAGGTTCCCTATTCCCAATTCTGGACAGTTTAAGCTCGATTCGTTGACTTGCAGTAAACATCTATGCATGCATGCTTCCCCTTGAGAGTGAGAGAAGTAAATAACATCCTCTAAGATAAATAATAGTCGCTTTTCCAAGTTGATATTTAGGAGTTAGAGATAATATCTGAAAATCCTCAAATTACTGCTTAGCATTTGACAGACGTAAAAAAAATTGTGACCGTATTTTTTTAAAAAAGCGGTTTACCCCCAAGGGGTTGTTTTTTTGTGTGTGTGCCTGTTCTGAATGATTTCAGAGTAATATAGAGAATGCGAGTCTATTGTCCATCACTCAGTGCTAGCACATGCAGTGTGCTAAAGCAGTACATCAGCCTCGACACCTTCTCTCACACTCATGGCTGTTCAGCCAAGTTCAAGAGCATGTACGGAAACTGCCATGCAAGAAATAGAAAAACATTAGATAAAGAGGTATATAACCATGGCACATAAACTGCTTTAAAATTTTTAACAGTATAACTGTTAGCTTAATAATACACTTAAAATTAAAAACAAAATTCTTTTAAGATTCAAGATAGTTGAGGAAAAGGTCTTTCTCAAAGTGAGAGAAGAGCTGAAAATACTAGGCTGCGTTTTTCTTTTTAGAAACTTAAGCTCAGATAAAAGAAGCATGATTGCATTGACTTATTAAATACCTCTACGTAAATAAAGAAAAATAGTCCAATGTTATCATGTTGACTCCTTTGACTAACATATTTTGTTAAAAGATCAGTAACCCTATTTCCCTCTATGCCCCGTGGAAGGTGCTTTTGTAGGAGGAAGAACTATTGTTTTGGAGACTTTAATTATCCTTCCTAAAATAACCACTTCCCAAACTGATAATGTGTTCCCTCTGTTAAATAACTTTTGAAGGAAAAAAAATGTTGGAGGTGAATATAATCATTATCTTAGAAAACTAAGTTTGATGTTAACACATTTTTGTTTATTTTTACCCCACTTTTCATCTTGCTGTTAGTTTTCCTCAGGGAACACCCTACTCCATCTGTTGCAAATTTCATGGTGGCCCAAGTTTCTGATAGATGGCTTTGGCTATTATCTCTGTTAAGCACTCTCGAGGTAACTGTGGTGTGTAATGCAGCACCTTAGAATAAAGTCTCACAACAGTCCTGGTTGAGACAATACTTAAGATGAGGAAATAGCTATCAATTACGGCCTCCCAGAAATCAGTAAGTTGTTTTTTTCTTCTGCTCACAGTTAAGGCTGGCAGCTACAAATAACTCTAAGCCCTTAATTTCCTGCAGTCTTTACTTCCTTATGTAAACTGGAAAATGAAGGGAAGGGCATGGTTTTGGGAGGGGCTCGGAAGCTGACAGGATCAGGATGCTGAGATGAAAGGGGATGAAAATTGACATTCTCCTGACCACTTCACGGAATTTCAGATTCTGCCTTGACCGCAGACAATCTGGAAAGTGTTGCTCAATGTTACTTCAGATGAGTTCAGTAAAGCATAGAAAGCTCAGTAAATGAGATTATAAATAGAAGTTAAGATAGGTTGATAATAAAAGCTCAGAGATGCTTTTCGGTACCCTAAACCCTACCATTCACCTGGACTGCCCAGCCCTGCATACTCCTTCTCTTCTGCTTGCTGAACAACAAACTATTTAGTTGCTTTCCTTATACAACTGTGCGTCAGTTCCCCAGACACATTTTCTTTCTTCTGGGATTGCCTTTCTTATGACATTTTCTCCTTTAAAGTCTCCTCAATGCAGTCAATGGTGTCTCCAATAAGCCACATCTTTTTCTAAGTTCAGACATCTGCTTTTGGGAGAACAGCTTTTCAATTCACCACAAAACCGCAAAGTATCAAAAAAGAGTCCAGAAGTGTATAGACAACTCACCATAAATGGAGTCCAAGTCTCCAACAGCAAAAACGGCCATGGTGCGCCTGTGAGAATCAATTCGGGGCCTCCTCAGCCAGCACTGGAGGCAGAGAACCACTGCTCCACAGAGAAGAGCTGCCACCAAAACCAGCAGCAGGATCCTGACTCCAAAAGTAACCGAGAAAAGAATGAGGTAGAGCATGCGGGGAAGTTAAGAGCTTCCATTACTACCTAGAAGTGGGGTGAGGATTCAGCTAGACTGGCCACAAGCAATGTGGGACACCGAATTCCTTAAACAATTTCCTACCACCACCCATACATTTCCATTGAACTGGAAATATTCTTTGGCCTTTTCCAGGTGGTAATAATCATTTTCTCCTTAGAAATCGGAGGCTTATTCTAAAAGGCAGTGTCTTAATTCATTCATCCATTCTTCCTTTCAGACATCCATCCATCCATTCATCCATCCATGCATCCATTCATTCATCCATTCATCCTTTCATCCATCCATCCATTCATCCATCCATGCATCCGTCCATTCATTCATTCATCCCTTCAGCCATCCATCCATCCACCCATCCATCCATCCATGTATCCATCCATCCATCCATCCATCCATCCATCCATCCATCCTTTCATCCACCCAGTTAGTATTTAAGCAACTGCACACACTTTAGATACTGGGGTTAGGAATTCAAAAGTAGGCAGAGAGGGTCTTTGCCTTTAAGGAGATAACCCGCTAATTGAGTGAACTGACAATGTTAAGTTTAGAATATACAAATGTCAAGATTTAAGAGGTTAAGATTTCTGAAGGGGCCGGGTGCAGTGGCTCATGCCTGTAATCCCAACACTTTGGGAGTCCAAGGTGGGCAGATCATGAGGTCAGGAGATCGAGACCATCCTGGCCAACATGGTGAAACCCTGTCTCTACTAAAATACAAAAAATTAGCTGGATGTGGTGGTGCATGCCTGTAGTCCCAGCTACTTGGGAGACTGAGGCAGAAGAATTGCTTGAACCCAGGAGGCGGAGGTTGCAGGGAGCCAAGATCATGCCACTGAACTACAGCCTGGTGACAGAGCAAAACTCTGTCTCGAAACAAAAAAAAAATCTGTAGGATTATCTCATAGAAGAGCTAGTGGTCATTTGGAATGGCTTTTAAGGCCAGAACTAGTATCAGTGGAGGGTCATTTAAGGAGATTTCAATAACAATGTTTTTTTCTACTATATTTTCAAAAATAACAATTATTTTGCTGTTAAAGATTTTCAACTCTAGAATAAACTTATTTTTAAAAATAGTGAGTCCCTTTGTCACAAGAAGTGTTTAAGGAAACATTGGCCAACAATCTGCAAGTGATATTTCTATATTCATTTGCATGACCCCTAATCTTTCCTTAAGCTGTATGATTTCATGTACCATCTTGAATTATTTAGGAGAAAGAGTGTGTATATACCACCAACTGTCATGTAAAACAGAAGTAAGATATCCTTACCAGATATACCAGCCTTTAGGGTGTTGATCATTATAATTTACACACCTGGTGATAAAGGAAGAGGGTTAGTCCTGGAACTCTGGATAGCCAAAGCCTATTTCTTTCACCCAATAACATTGGTATTGATCACACTTGTTTCTCCAGAACAATCATCTACCTATTCCCATACCAGCCCACACCTCCCGGCACCCAGCACAATTATGCAAATGTTTATGCCCACTCAATTCAAGGCACTGAGAATACAAGTAAATGTGAAATTATCAGATTATATATAAACAGATAATTGCATTATAATGGGTTTGATTCTAGAGTTACAAATACTGTTATGCATTGAGAAGGCAGTGACTAACTCTTCAGGGACAACAAATCACAGGTGTCAGGTGTTAGGCAGATAACCATTATAGCTATATACTGTTCATCTAGAAACCCACAGTCACATAAAACTCAAATTCTCCAGGGAAGAACATCTTGGTAGAGAACAGGAGGCATCGGACAACTGTTTGCACTCTTGTTATACAATTGGTGAGGAAAGAAATTAGGCCAGGAGGAAAATGAATGAATGTGACCATACCTACCATTTACCAAGGAGTTAGAAGTGGATTCTTCAGTCAGGAAGTTGACCCTCCTGTGTGTGTCTAGCCACAACTCAATCATTCTTGAGACAAGTTTTAAAAGGTAACAGACAGACAAAGTTCACAGAGTGATTTTTGGGAGGTATAACTCGGCAGGCGTAGAGTCCCTCACTATGCCTAACGTGGCACACTAAATGTAAGTGGGCTGATGGACGCTTTTCATACCTCAGTATACGAACTACTTTTAAGGTGTTCTGTGCTTCAGCAGTGGAAATCTGTTATTCACAGTCAGATACGCTTCTGAGAAGACACTATACTTAATCATATCTTCTTCAGCCGTTGTTAAAATAACTCAGTTCATTTCAGTTTGAAGACATTCATAAATGTCAGTTAATTTATTACGTCTAGCTTCCGTGAGGAGGCAGGGTGTCATCACATCATCATATCAGTCAGAAATGACTTTTAACATATGTGAAGTGTCCATTTAAAAATTTTATCACAAACGTTTAAGACAGAAACCAATCACCCAGCCTACAGATGATTTCATCCCCCTCCACGTATAAATCTCTGCTGCTTTTTTTTTCTATCTGTTCTTTGTTTGTTTGCTCTTTGTTCTGAGCACACAGAGTGTTTAGCAAAATTCACAGGTATGCCTGTAGTCTCAGCTACTCAGGAGGCTGAGGCAGGAGAACGGCGTGAACCTGGGAGGCGGAGCTTGCAGTGAGCCAAGATAGCACCACCACATTCCAGCCTGGGCAACAGAGCGAGACTCCATCTCAAAAAAAAAAAAAAAAGAAAAAAAGAAAAAAAATTCACAAGTATGGCTGGAAAAAAAAATGGCAACTGAAGTAAGACTTTAAAAAGCATTCTAAGACAAATGACCATCAATAAAAGATGTGAAAAATAATTAATGGGATATACTTACAGAGGAATATTATTAAATCATCAAAAATAATGTAGACATGCTTATAAATAAGTCTTGCTAAGTAGTATAGAGACTTCAATCTTACTTTGTATATATTATTTTTCACAAGTACAATGATTTCACCAAAATTACTACCAGACATAAATATACACCAAACTACTAAAGTGCCCACTTCTCTTGAAGATGGCATTATGAAGAACTCTATCCCTTTACTATTGTTTGAATTATTGTAATGTACATGAATCACTTTGTAGTAAAAAGAACTTTAAAATATTACGTTAAAAAATTAAAACATTAAAAATACAGATTGTTTAAGAGGCAGAAGTGGGGAAATTCTCTTGGTGTCCTGATTCAGTGAATAAAGCAGAAGGGTTTGTTTTGTTTTGTTTTGTTTGTTTTGTTTTGAATTGTGACATCTAAGCTCATGACCAGGAATACGGATTATTCCACCTCCCTCCTCTTCCTTTTCTTTTTTTCTATTTTAAAATAGCCCCTTTACTTATAGTTGAACTCAATTCTAAATATTAACCACCTCATTTTGTTTCTTAAATCTAATTTTTAAGGCCCTCTGTTTTTTTTCTTTCTGGGCTAACAATTTTCCAAACCGACTTGTTTCACTTTTTCTTTCTGAGCTGGTGCACCCTCTGGTGGAGCTTCTGATAAGCAATAACATGGCTAGGAAGCAGTTAGCTGGAGAAATGCAGTAATCATGTAAGTTCTAAATTGCAGGCACCTTTGAGATCGCTTATTCACCTTTAGGATTTTGCACAGTGTACCACTGAGACTTAACGTGGAGAAAGGAAGTGGGGAGGTCACTACCTAGTCAGAGAACTACACATGTGTCTTCTGGCTCCATATGCTCCCCTCCCTAAACATTATTTCCATTTCTCTCTTAAATTCAAGTTTTAAACAGATACTTTTTGAGTTCCTAAAAAACTAAGAGTATTCTAATTACTCAAATATTACTTCCAAGATAGTCAGTATGGGAAACGTTATATTTTTGAAAATGAAATTATTCCTCAGAGATTGGTCAAATCGGTATGATTATGCTAAAAAGAAATATAATCATCGGGGGCGGTGAGAGCTGACTCTAATGTGTGAGAAAGACATTTGGAATAAGAATTATCTGGAATTCGTTGTTGAAGGAGATAATTTCTGTCCTTATCAGAATGATTTCCTTTTGTTACTCTGATGTCATGGAGATGATTTCTGTGCTACACGGACGGTGAGATGAGTTGATCTTTATTCTTCTTCTTGGTGCTGAGAATCTGTGGACCTTAGATTAACTCTACGTTTACGAATTTGATAAATTCAGGAAGAAATATGCAGAGTTGCTCCACTGGTTTCTCTGTCACATCTCTCAGCATTTTCTGGGGCAGACACTCTTCTAAAATCAGATGTGTAACTATATGTGAAATAACGGACTCTCAAACTTCCATCCCTATACGTTTGGGTCATACTATTATAATTCTCCTTTTACAACTGAGAAAACTCAGTCACAGAGACATTAAGTAACTTGCCCAAGTTAGCATAGCTGGAAGTGGTAGAACTAGGTTTTAAACTCAAATGTTCTGGCTGCAGAGTCCATGTCTCTTAGCACCATGTAGTGGTGCAACTGGGAACAGTAATAGCCAGTTCTAACCTCATATTACTGTGTGGAGTATTGCCTGAGTGAATCCAATATCCCGTGTTCCAAATGCTTTAAGGAAATACTGAAAATTTTTTAAAAAATGGAAATGAGAGCCTGGTGAGGATCAGACAAAGAGAATAGGCCAATAGTGAGATCAGTTTGTAAACCGAATATAGTAAATACCATATATAAAATTTGAATTGAACTGTAGATCTGACTTAAGCTTCCTAGCAGCTAACATAATGAGAGAGAATATTGGTTATGTAGTGTCCTCTAAAATTAACAAAATGAACAGCATTACTCACCAGATGTACAACTATTCCTGGCATAGAACCGAGAGAAAAATTCAAGCTATGAGGCCTCACAAAGAGAGCACTGTTAACATAAGAACAGTGTTTTCCATAGTATTCTCAGAATAAATTCAACAACAAATTTCATGATTTTTTTTTTGTTATTTTTAAAAAGTCATTTCACAACATAGGCCAAAGTACAATTCAGCTACAGTAATTTGAGGGACGGATGAGTCACAAATCATATCACCCAGAAACTGGTAGTAAATTGTACACTATCTCAAAGAATGAATGGACTGTGTATCTCTCAGGTATTTCACCAGATGTGTAATTGATTAAATGTTGGATATACAATATAACTTTGTGGTTGAAATTCTGGGCTCGGGAGTCAGTCCCAGGTCCAAGTCCAAGTTCTGCCTTTTAATTTGCTTTCCTACTCCTGAGTAAACTATTTCTCTTTATCGAAGCCAAGCAAGATGTGGTATGTCATTAGAAAATCTATCAATGCAATTAATTTATAGAATCTTTTATATGTATAGTCATATTTATGTTTCATAAATCAATCTATTTTTGTAGATTCATGCACATCAGTGTCCTTGGCAATTTATCAGAAGAGGACTAAGTTAGAAGTATGATAAGAGGGGCTCTGTCATGTTTTATTTCATAAAATAAATTACTGATAGCATTTAAATTTTATACAAAGACAGCACACCAATGCTTTGTTCATGTTAAAAATAGAGTTATAAAAGTAAAATAATTGGATTGGATCAGAAAAACATACCCTGGTGTTTGAAAACAAATTTAAATAGGTAATAATAAAATAGACCAGTTTTTTTGTTGTTGTTATTTGAGACGGAGTCTCGCTCTGTCACCCAGGCTGGAGTGCAGTGGTGCGATCTCGGCTCACTACAAGCTCCACCTCCCAGGTTCAGGTGATACTCCTGCCTCAGCCTCTTGATCAGCTGGGATTACAGGTGTGTGACACCACACCTGGCTAATTTTTGTATTTTCAGTAGAGATGGGGTTTCACCATGTTGGCCAGGCTGGTCTCGAACTCCCCACCTCAGGTGATCCACCCACCTTGGCCTCCCAAAGTGCTAGGATTACAGGGTTAGCCACTGCACCTGGTCGATCGACCAGTTTTTTTTTTTTTAATGGAAAATATATGCAAATTGTTTTGCACAATTCTTGGAACATGGAAGTTGACTAATACAAATGTTTTTATTTCTAGCTAATCAGCACCTCCTCCACCATGGCCTCTACCTAGGCGACCCGTGTTTCGTGTTTTTACTTTGATACTCCCTTGCATTCCAATCCAAGTCTCCCTTTCCGGTGTCCATTTTGCACGTGAACTTTGGACAAGTTACTGTCCTTTTGTGTTTCTTATTTCTGAAAGACATTTAGAGTAGGCCATCTTTATGGTCCTTTTCACTGTAATCTGCCATGTTTGTGTGTTACTGTCTAATAGCAGTGCTGGTAAATGGATGAATATGGTCTCTTAGCTGGGTAGTGTATTTTAACAGGAGATAATGTCCCAGATCAAAGAAGCGATTCTAAACTGAAGTCTCTTGTATAAATATAGTTAGAGAAAGAGGATTTTGTTGGAGGGGACTTTTTACTCCTGCAGAAAACAGCGTGACTTTCCTTATAGATTCATTCCACTGACACTGTCTTGTGATAACAAAAGATTTGAGATATTGTGCCCATCTTCAATACATTTTCTTACCTCATACGACCACCCTACATTCCCAGCCACTCTCTTTTTTGTTTTTATTTTCTGCCCATTTACATTTCATTTGAGGGTTTTGTTTTGTTTTGTTTTTACTCAAAAGCAATTGTACTAAATAATGACAAACATTACAGACACTTAGATGCAAAATGATGTAGCCAAAGAATGTGATACCTAAGTACCAGTTGAAGCCCTACTACTAATTTACTATTTCTCTTAAGTTTCAATTCCTTCACCTAAAAGGGAGAGCAGTAGCCTCAGTAGCTCTAAAGTCAGCATAAAAACTTTCTTAATATCATATTTTTTCTGTTGCGTTGATTAGAGTTAGATTCAACATTTAAGATCCTTTCCAATTCTGAACTTCTTTATTTTGTTAGTGTGGGTCAAAGGCAGAAGATAAGGAGATAAGATAAGGGCAGCCAGGAAATCCGGAGTCAGATAAGCATGCAAACAATCAAATCCTCTGTTTCATCACAAACAGCATAAGACAGAGTGAAAAAGCAGTTCCAAAATTAACGTAAAGAAATAGCAATCGAGAGCCACGCAAAAGCTGAAAGAGCAGCACAAATTTAATAAGCAGATTGTTAACCATAAGATGATCTACCAGAAACAGGTGGATGGTCCCAATCCCTGCTGTGCAATACAAGCATAAGCATCCTGCTATACACGGAGCATGGCTTTGAGGGTAACAGGCAATGAAAACAGCTAACAGTAAGGGCTGCAACCAGGAGAAGATAGTGCTGGGTGGAAGTGCTTTTCTGACACTAAATAACAATGAATTACAGATATGAATTATCGGTACCATTATGAATGGCACCTTCTCTTCATCTCCTGAATAGAATTCTGAGAACCATTAAGTCTATAGCACAAAAAGTGAAAAAACTGAGTCAATTGTTCACATAATTCATATCACGAGCACTTTGAAATATACACACAGTACAGGTTAGAATTTTGATTAATTTGCTTGTATTTTAAACTGAGTTATACAGAAAACTGCCTCCCTTGGTCACTGTGATTTTTGAGTGTGGATGCAGCCATAGATAACATCGTGATTCTTTTATGAACTTAAAATACCCTTGAAACCTTGAGGAAGAGAAATTCAGTGTGCAAAAATATCTAGAAATCAGCTAGACCTCTTATTTAGTTAACAAAGCTGATCGTAATGAAAATTACCTTTCCTGTTTAAAAAAAAATTGAGCAATCTGCATTTACAAACTATTTACTTTTCTTCTGATTATAATGATCATTTGTAACTCAGCTGGGCTTTTTCTAATGACTTGAGCCTTTTTTATACTTTGAATTTTTTAAATGCTAAATAAAAACATGTAGTTTTTTGGTGTTTACTTACATTTCATCTTCTTCACATGGTAGGTCCGAGAGCACCAACTGAAACACATGTTGTAGAACAATAAAATCCAAACATCTCATCAATCTAATCCTTTAATACAAGCAGCGCCTAGAGACAATGTGGGTTTATATCATTTCGTTTGCTTTTTTAATTAAAAGCTCTGTAGCAGACTTTATTGTTGGTACACAGAATTTTAATTGAAAAAAATCTCTGGGTAGATTCTTAAGCTCAGCAGTGGCAGAAGATGTATGTTTTGAACCAGATTCCATTTCTACATACCAGTATAAATGGATTTTACGACAATTTTTGTTTTTTCTATATGCAGATTTTGCTTGCTCTAAAGAGCTTTTGTGCACCTTGCATTTTTTCTTTTCATGTTTTAGCTGGAGGACAGCGGTTCATTATTAGTGAGTATTATTTTCACGCAAAAAAAAAGTTCCAAGTACATACATGGAAACAGAAGTCAATCCTATCAGCATTAATGGGTATTAAATATATATTCATGAAAGGGTGACTTTAACCTGCTCTAAGGGTAAGATCCATTTAAGATCACATGACATTCCAGTTGAGATTTACAGTCTTCTCTTTATCAGAGAAGAGGAAAAAAGTAATCATTTTGTTTGCTTTGTTTGAAAAGACCAATACTATAAGCATTCTAAAATAATGCTCTTAGCTGTCTGCACTGAGTGTCATAGGTTACAACATCTCATACACCAAATCACAAGGAAAAAGGCGCTTCTTTCTAAAGGTTTTATTATCTGTTTGCTTGCTTGACCCTTTGAACCAGGACTCCTTCCTTGCACAATGAGAAAGTCTTTAAATAGCATTTATATGTAGCTCTAAATACTTCGTTGATGAGGTCAGTTGAAATATTTATTTTCCTGGACTATAACATGCACATAAAAGTAAAAGAAGTTACAAAATTTAAAATGATAGACTTGGGATTTCTATGTGAAATGTGTCTTTTCCCCCCTTAATCCCAAATACATCTTCTTCAGCACCTTGTATTTACTCCACCAAGTTTATCTGGGCAAAGAGATTTGTGGAGTTGCAGATGGAGCCATGAATTGGCCATCAGAGAGCATGGTAATGAACAATTTATAAGCACAGAAAATGAGTTGCATTCTTTTTTGCTAGGATGCTGCAAATAGATTTGCATACTAAGTGAAAGGAAAGTGAACATTCACATTTTGTCCATAAAGAAAGTTTATTTATGAGTAGATGAAATCATCTGGGATCCAGCTTAACAGATAAATGATGCCAGCATTTCACTTTCTGGTCACTTCCATGTCTTTTGTGTGTGTTGTAACCTAGCAATAGTACACAGTATTAAATTATTAGCACCTAACTGCCAACACATTACCTTTCAAACTTCCAGTTATTATGAAGAGGTAAGAAAAGCCATAATTTACTTTAGATCTAAATATTTCAGGTACCTTACATTGAAGTAGCACAGATATAGAGATGCACGTATTAGTCAGAAAGGGATGCTGGAGCAGAGGAACTGAAATAAATCCTAAAATGGTTCTGTCTACATCAGTCAGCATTGAAAAACTGTCAAGCATCCAGTATGGTTGCAGGCAATAGTAAACACGTCTTAAATTAATCCAGCCATAGCATTTTGTTCTGTGTCAATAGCATTTTGAATTAAAAAAAAAAATTACAGCATAGCAAAGTTAAACAAAGGTTAAATTTGCAATCACATTATTTCAGTAGCAATAGAACTAATTAAAGGAGAAATAAGACTAATGCCATGGACATTTTGTTTTGTCCCTCTGACCAATGAATACAAGAAATCATAAGATGCTAGTAACGCTTGAAAGAAATCTTTTAAATGTAGAACAGTTAAGTTGCTCACATATAAACCTATAGCAAATCAAGTCCTCAGAGTACCTCTGGAAACCTTAACCCAGAAAGAGAGAGAGTTACCTGGAATAGTGGCAAACACAAGATCCCTATTGTTGAGATCACTGAAGTGACACTGAAAAGTCTGGATCTTGACATATTTAAAGGACAATCAGCTTAGGATCATGGTTTGGTGCCTGTGTTTATTTCCTTCTTTTCAGAACTTACTGGCTTCCCTGTAAGTTACGCTTCCTACCAGGACATGCATTAATAATGGCTCCTTGTGACTGATAAAGTGCGTGCTAGGGGAAGGAATGTTGGGTACATGTTTACAGGTACTAAGAGCCCAAGGAGTTTAAGGTCAGAACTTCAGTACTGTTTGTCAAGGCCTGTAAAAGTAGGGGTTATAAATGCTGACCTCCAGCCCTAGCTGGCTACTTAATAACTTTCCGCATCCAAGTGCATGTTTTATTCCAGGAAACTTCTGAGTTTCTAATACTATCTCATATTTGGAACATTTATTCAATTTTCTTCCTTTGTTGGTACTCTTTGTTCTCCTACACACCATTTTCAGTTCCAGGTCTAACCCAACCTTAGGCATAAAGCTTTCCCTGTTTTATTGCGATAATATCCCTCTTTTAAACCAGGTTTATTTCAGTGTTTATTTTATGAAACAACTCCATCACTACCACTGAAAAATAAAGCTAGAATATCTAGGGAAATTCTGAAAGAAAGAAGAGGCACTAACCTATTGTATATTAAGATGTCTTAATCTATGCATTTGACAAAAAGTAATACTGATACATGTAAATAATAAGGTAAATGTGAAAGAATAGAGAGTTTAGAAATGGAGAGTTTAGACTCAAATAAACAAATTTATTTAAGCTTCCATTTTAAACTAGTGGAGAGAAGATGGATATCTTTCAGGGTACAATGAAGAACTAAATGGTTATGTGGAAAGAATGTAACGAATGATTGTTAAGATGCTTAACCTCAGTCATAATTAGATAAACATACCTTAGAATTATAATCAGATTGGCAGATTCAAAAAATTGATACTATAGGGAGGAGGGATAAATATGGGGAAGCAAATACTCTCTTATATGTTTGGGAAAACTGTACAGCTTATGTGGAAAACAAGTAGGCAATATACATCAACATAAAAAATAAATATGCCCTGACAGCAAGAATTCTCCTCGCAAGATACGTGAACGTACCCCTTACACATGGCACAAATTATTATATGCAATGATGTTCATCAGAGCATTGTTGGTGTTAACAAAATATTGGAAACAGCAAATATTCATGAAAATATGACTGAGTACAAAATGGTTATATAAATTTAACAGAATACTAGGAATCTGCTTTAAAAGGTGGAGACAGATCACAGATGCTGATATAGAGAGGTCTCTAATAGTTATTAAGTAAAAGGTACAAAAATCACAGAATATTGTGTACATCATGTTACCTTTGTATGCAAAAATAGGAAGGTAGAGCTATAGTATTCTCTCCATACACAAAGCTTAGGCATATATGCTTATATATGCATAGGCTGTCTCTGCATGAAACTGCTAACAGTGGTTGCTCTGTAAAAGGGAAATTGGAAACTAAGAAAACAAGAGTGGGAAGGAAATTTACTTTTCACTGTTACTTCCTTGTATTTTTGATATTTTTTACAATGTAGATGTCATCTAATTATTTTATACATACATTCACTTCTAACAGCCAATTTTGAAGGCAATCATCTACAATGCAGAATGAGAATATTATAATTCAAGCTCCAGTGTAGTTCACCAAGTCCAATTCAAATTGTAATATATGAACCCATTTATGATCACACACATAGATTACTCTAGAAACAAACCAGCAGTGTTAGTTATCTAAACTACTGCACAGAGTTGGCCATCATAGTGTACGGACTAGTTGAGCTGCATCTGGATGGGTGAAGCCAACTGTGTGGTGACCATGGTCTGTTTAGTATGCAGCCACAGTCACAGCCATGCATTTCAAAGCAGAGGAAGGCTTGGTGCCAATGCCAATAGGAGAAAAGTAAACCAAATCTACAGATTTATTTATCCCTAAGACACCCTCCATTTTGAGTGTCTCTGAAGCCTGTAATTAAACAGAATGAAAAATAGGCTTTTCACTGGTGAACTTATTTATTAGGCAGTCAGAAGCCTGACTTCCGTCAGTGGAGTCAATGATCTTAAGAATTTCTGGGAAAGGAAGAGGCCAGATGACTGGAAAAGAGAATGGAAATAAGGGCAGCATATTTGGTTTTGCTTCAGAAACTGCAATAATGACCAACTAGATACATGGATTAGATAATTCTTGTCCAAAAAAAAAAAAAAAAAAAAAAGCATGATTCTGCAGCAGCTGCCTGACTAGGAGTATGGTAGCTGAGTGGAGGTGGAGTCTATAGTCACAATAGTAACGCAAACACCACTATTATATTTGGTGCTAAAATCAAATTTTACATTCATTTCCACCTTTCTATTTCCAAATTGCCATTTATCCATTTACATCTGTGACTTCCCCACGCCACTTCCAAAGTCCAGCATAATATTTTCTAAGACAGTAGTTTCTCCATTATATTTCCTTCCTAGCATCATGACAGTGTGGTGGTCACGGAATAGAAAACCTGACCATAAGTACAATTTTACCTGCAAAGTTTTTTAAATAGATACTTACAATTAAAATAGCTTATTTTGTGATAAATTTAAATTCGCATGCAGTCTTAAGAACTACTACAGAGATCCCATATACTCTTCATTTAGTTTACCCCAGTGGTAGCATCTTACATAACTGTTATACAGTATCACAACCGGAAAATTGACATGGAGAAAATCCACCATCTGTATGATTTTTTAAAAAAATTATGTACATAGTAGTCGTTCACATGTATGGGGCACATGTGATATTTTATCACTTAACATGTGTGATTAATTTTGTAAGTCCAGCTACATCCTTATGTGCATGAACTTGTGGTAGTGAATTGTCATCACTGGAAAGTCAAGCTGAAGATGGATGAGTGCTATACATAGCAGTATGGTCTCTTAGATCACTAAGATTCTAGGGACTGTTTATGTTTGATTATAAGAGTAGAAGTAAGCAAAACTTGAATCTGTAGAAGAGGAAAGGACATGCACTGTGACAGTGTATAAAATTCGCCCAGTACTTGGATGGCGGACCTTTCATCTACGTCTTTGTTGCAAGAGAATGGGCACACATATATTCAACTTCACAGCTCTGGTTATTCACCTGTCTCTTTTCTTTGTGAGAAGGAATTAATCCTTCTGAAATGGCCGGAATTCAGGAAATATGAAAACTATACTCTGGATTTGGAGCCTGACATAAGTCAAAATTCCCTGAAGCTCTGAAGTCATATCAATATTTGTCTTTAAAGGTCATGGCATGCAGCTGTTCGAAAGGATTGAGGACCAAAATTCAAGGAATTAAGCGAGAATAAATAAAAGGTATGAATAAAAGTGGGCATGCATAAAGGAAGGTCCAAAGGGCAAGCAAGGGAGCACCAGCTACTCTCTTTATCAAAATTAAAAGTGCAAGTTAAGGTTCTAGGAGTTAGGAAGCCTTGGTCACTAATAAGCAGCAGTATGACAATAACAGTTATTTATAAAAGCTGCATTTTCTAAAATAATGATAATAATATTGAATTATCTTTCTCAAATAATTTCATTAAAGATCACATTGAAACTATCAACATGAAATCAGATATCGCACAGATGTAAGATGTTGATTACTAGAGCATAAAACACAACAAAATAAAATAAAATAAACGAGAATTTCAAAATTAATTCAGAGATCCATGGAAACAATAGGAGTTGAGGTAATACAAGGAGGACATAAAATGAGGCAGCAAGCTGTCGGAGTCTCTAGTTTCTCCATTTGCTTCTTCCCGCAGTGAAAGGAAATATTGATTACATTGCCAAATCAATGATCAACTTTTAGTCATCTTACTTTAAGTAATGGACAACATTTGACACAGTTAATCACTTCTTGCTCCTTTACCTTCCTCACTTGGCTTCAAGAACAATAGCGTTTTGATTTGCCTCCCAGTTTACTGACCATTTCTGTTCAACTCTCTAGACCTGACATGTTAGGGATGCCTTCAGACTCAGCTCTCAGACCTCTTTCTCTTCTATATACATCCACTCTCTCAAGAATCTCAGTCAGTCTTACAGATTATCATCCATAAAATGACAACTCTGAGATTTGTATCTTCAATCCAGATAGTTCCCCTGAACTCATGTAATCAACTCCATATCAGTTGGCTGGGGAGGAGATTGTCGTGATATTTAATATAGCTGCTGAGGAAAACGTCACTGAGAATGTGGCATTTCAGCAAGGACCTTAAGGAAGTGATGAAGTAAGCCACATGGAAAAACGGGAGAGGTGCATTCAGACAAAGGAAAGATCAAATGCAAAGCCCCCTGAGACAGAAGAATACCTGGGAAGTGTGTGGAAAAGCAAGAAGGCAGAGTGCCTAGAACAGACGGAGTTGAGCAGAGACTGTCAGTTGGCTGGGGAGGAGATTGTTGTGGTAGCAGCTGAGGAAACATCACATGTCACATCACATCCATGTCATCATTGGACATATTAGACTTCTGCAAATAAACTTAACCCAAACCTAGCTTCTCACTTTTCTTATCTCTTCTCTATCCTTTGTGTTTTCTCCAAATATTTCCTATATCAGTAAGCTAAAACACCCTTTTTGTTTTCTCAGGCCAAAAATCTTATAAATATTTTTTAGTTCTCTCCTTCATGTGCCATGTCTAATGTATCAGTAAATCCTGTAGTCTCAAATTTCAAAATATATACAGACCCTCAACACTTTTTACTACCTTGACTAGCAACTTTTTACCTAACTTACTCACCAACCACCTTCATATGTTACCAAAATTACCATCAATAGGTTCTTAGCAGGTACTTCTGTTTTTCCATTTGCCTATCTACAATATAGCAACAAGAATGATGGTGTTTTTGTTTTTGTTTTTGTTTTTGTTTTGACAGAATCTCCCTCTTCCACCCAGGCTAGAGAGTGCAGTGGCACAATCTTGTTTCATTGCAACCTCCACCTCCCAGGTTCAATCGATTCTCCTGCCTCAGTATCCCAAGTAGCTGGGATTACAGGTGCCCACAACCATGCCTGGCTAATTTTTGTATTATTAGTAGAGATGGGGTTTCACCAAGTTGGCCAGGCTGGTCTTGAACTCCTGACCTCAGGTGATCCACCTGCCTCAGTCTCC